CTGTGGTTCCCGTGGGACTATACAAGGATCGGAGCCATCTGACCCACAGTACATAACAGTGTACAATAGAAATATATGTGTACTAAACATGGGTCTTATCAGAGGTGGGAGAGTGGACAAAGAATGTTCTCAAGTAAAATTAGTCTTAGTGTAAATCAATATAATGCCAAAATAGCTGCAGTATATAAATATTTGGTGATAAAATACGCAAGAAACTGTTGGGACATACATGTTTGTTTGTTTTTTTTGGGGGGGGTGGAGAGGGGGGTTTGGTTGTAATGAATTTCATATCCATAAAATGTTCTGACTTTATTTTTTCTTTATATATTATTAATAGTCTATGTAAGTAAAAGTACAATGAATTTGTTTTGTTTTTAAGTCCAGTAAATGTAACCTCAGATTCAGTGGCTCAGACCACCCAGTCTTGCTCGCCCAATCAAACTAACCCGGTCTGTGTTTCCCTTGTTCCCTGCGGACATTTTAAGCTGCCTTCACAATTTCAGCCTAGAAACAGTATCAATATACTTCAAAAAGTTAAAAGTAGTCACTCAAATGATAAGCACAGAAAAATGATTTTGAAAAAAAAAAATGTAAATGAATAAAGTTTTGTTTTTTCATCAAGGATCACTTACACATATACATACATACATTCATACAGATATGCAGATGAGTTTAGTGTCTTGCCCAAGGACACAACAACAATATGCGGTACTGACTGGGCTAGAATTAGATTGCAACCTTTGGATCAGTGAGCAATATCCTTGCTTGCAGTAACAATATTTCTATCATAAAAGAACTGACTGAATATGGAGTAGGGCTAAATAAAGTAAAGCAAAATAAAGTTAAAAATGAAAAAAAGATTTGTGACAAACTTCCAGAAACAAAATATAATTCACCCCTCTGTTATCTCCGCCCACCTAAATTTGATGTTGTCTGTCCAATCAAAACATAGTCTCTGAATCAAAACCATTACCGGCCTGCATCACATAACAGGTCTATATTTAATTTAATTTTGCCTAACTAAATTTCGAGTCCGCCCTCACAAATCCAGTCAGTAAACAACAACATTCTTCACGCCCAAACTGTCACACTGATGTCTTACATAAACTATTTGACCTTTAGGACCAAATAAAAACATGGCTCCGAGAACTTGTTTTGTGCCTAATTACAGCAATTAAAACACAATGGAAAATAATGATGTTGTGGGTGTAATCTCTTTAGGTTCATTGGAAGAATGTAGACAACAGGATGATGCCAAATAAAAGCAGCCAAGAGAGATTTAAAACAACAAACTTGATTGATACATTTGACCTTTCTGTAAGGACATCAGTTTTAAAATAAAATAAATGTACATTGCGTTATACCCTACTATATGGTAGGTGGTGATGGTAGGCTAACAGAGACATAGTGACAACAATCACACAACCAATTACTCACACATACAGCCATACATAGTGAAATGTTTTGCCCAAGGACATAATGCTATTGCACTGGTCAGAGCTAGGATTAAACTTTCATGTTGCAAGAGTCTTATCTAATGTGTAATGTTTGCATTTATCTATACTAATTTACACTTTATGGGTGGTTATACGCTATTGGAAAGAGACGTGACATAGATGTGACCCAAACATGGAACAACAACAACAATAGAAGAGTGAAGGTGAAGAAAAATGATCAGTTAAGTAACCAGATTAGTAGTTCATTCAGAAAGCAATAAATCACATTATAAAATGTGTCTATAAAAGTGTCATTGCTGCTTTTAGTTAGTGACATTTACCGAAAAGGTCACACATGACTGACAGCTCCACGCACACACCCACAACGCTACCATTCAACAGTTACACAAATGACAAACTTTTAATTTTATTTAGTGATAAAATCACTATTGAATTCACAAGACACATCCTCGTTACAATTAAATGCATTTTTCGTTGCAGGTAACGCCTCCCAAATAGGTTGTGTTTATTAAACTAGCGCCATGTCAACAACCACAAACATGTGAATACACAAAAGCATAATTGGCAAATGTTGAACTTGGCACGATTCAGGATCAACCATGAGATTATAGTGTAATTAAATACTATTTTTGAGTCTTCTGCATAATCTTGTATTGTATTCATGAGGAAACATAACTGACTGTATTATATGCTGTAGTAAACATATTGAAGGCATGTGTGTGGTCTACGCCAATGTTTGCACTACAACAAAAAGAAAGCAATAAGCAGCTACTGGCATGTAGGCCTACTCAGTGAGGTATAATAAAGCAAGAGGAAGCATCGCATAGTAATCTATAGTAACTAATATCCCATTCCAGCAGCCATGTTCTTGCTAATAGGAAGCATAACTTTTTAATGACATCATTTTTCTTGAATACTTTGATAATTAGATTTTTTATGTGTACTTTATCTAATTACACATTCTTCTAAATGTTTTGTAATAAATACTTCTAGTAATTGACTTGAACTGAATAAATATCAATGGTGTATTGATATACAAACATGGTTTATTTCTGCATCATATATAGTGTAGTATTTTAGGGTGAATATTCCATTTCACAATTCAGCAAAAAGGGTCCTGACACAGACAGGTAAAGTTCCTGCATTATTAGCATCATTAAATGTCAAATGAAACCAGAAAAAATGTCTGGTTCTGATTTTATATTATTTTCTATTAGAATTAGAGAATGCTCTTACAATTATAAGATGGCTCCTGCAATGACAATGGCAACAGTATCCATGATTTCTTATATTAAAACTGATTGGGCCTACTCCTATGCACAACACTATGACTAGGATCTGCCATGTCCTCTATTAAAAAATAGACTAGAGTTTATGATGAAATAGCTGGATGGCTTCCTGATCTAGACACCAGTGCTTCTTGTTAAATTTACATATTTTTTTATTTTATTTTTTGGGTGCTCATCTAAAACCCTTTAGACATGTTTGGTGTACACATCTTCATTAGCATGTTTTTTTAAGTGTAACTTTCTGAGCACTCCAATGACGTCTTGCCTGCCAGACAATTAAGGATTACTCAAAACATGGTTCGATCAATCACAATAAAACACATGGGTCAAGCTAATGATGAGGGAATGTTTTAACAAAAATAATAATAATAAAAAAATAAAAAAGTTTTTGCGTAATATGTTCCCTTTAAGCTTACATGTGTACAAGAAAACATTTTCTTATTTACCTACTTTAATATATGTTTGTTTGCGCATTATTTTAATGGCAGTTAAGTTTTGGGTGCATGCGGCTATTCAAGGGTTTCAGCTTACATAACCTACCTGTTATACACACTTTATATGCTTTTTCCCATCCACAAAATTATATATTATTTTGTTTTAAATCGTGAATTGCTATGGCAACGGTCTAAATAAATATAAGGCCAATCTAAGCAATCATAAGAACTGGTGTTAAACTAATTCCTGTGTCCGAGTTGTACCTGGACGTGAGGCTGTGGTGCTGATTCAGTGTTTGCTGTTGGCGTCCACTCGACTTCAGCATTTTATAAAGTGCTGCTTCAGAGAAAGAGCCAAGGACCAGGAAGTGTCTGTGGTCTGCTTCAACAAGCTGCAACAAGACCTGCAATAAGAGAGAGAGGGAAGGGGCAAGAAAGAGGGGGAGGGGGGCAGTGAGGGAGAGAAAGAGAGAGAGCAAAAGACACAGAGAGAGAAAGAAGGGGGGGGGGCAGAGGAAGACAGAGAAGAGGGAGATAGAGAGGGAGAGAGAGATAAAGGTTAAATTCACATAAAACTATTAAACGATTAATACAACAATACAGTAATCCATTCTGACAGGTTTCAAGAAGTGCATAAGCCAAGCAAAATGCAATATAAGGTAATATTTTGCATTCATCCTTACTTGAATAAATGTAGTTTGGGTAAATATAGCGTTCAGAAATAATAATTAGATATTAAAGTGATATTATAATTGTGTGTGTCTTTTAGCCTGGACTAAACCACCTGAGGAGTGTCCACAATCAAAGGATTTCAGGTCTCAAGTGCCCTATAGGGCTCACTGCACACAGTTGAAAACTATAATACAAATAAAAACATACATATATCAGCACTATACATGATAAACGTATTTGATATAGTAATGAAAAAGCAATGCATCATAGTTTATCATATTTAAAGACACACTCAGGTAAGTTTTCAGGTGAAGAGTAAATATGCCATCTCCTTGTCTCCATGGAGATGAAAGTTCCACAACACAGAGAGCATTAACTCTCCTTAGAGACAAGCAGGTGACAGTACCAGGTCAAGTTACAGATCAGATCTGTGAAGAGATGACCCCACTCCAAGATTTAGTTTTTTTTTTTTTTTTTTTTCAAGTTAACACACGGTCAACAATGCAAGCAGGTGACTGACTCCCAAAAAAGTTTCACAGTGTTCTTTTGACACAGAATAAGTTATAGACCTATTAGAATAATAATAAAACAAGGAAAATTATGTTGTCAGCTGTGCCAATGACTTCTTATAAAGGTGCAAATGTTTTATGCTTAATCTGTCGTGTATGTCTACCATGTAGTTATAGGCCTATTTGTAACATGCGTGCTGTGTTGATGTGGTAAACTGAGCCCTATGCTACTTTTTCACTGGCACTCACTTTCACTGATTGCTACTACTTTCTGTTTCAAAATGGCAAACCATAAATATCTTTTGGCTGTAAATACATATAGGCCTGTTTTGTCTTGTCGTTTAGTATTGTATACGGGTTGTTTATTATTGCCTCGTTGTTGGTTTAAACAGACGATTCTTTCATAATTTTCAGTGACGATGAACTTCTTGTGCGTCCCGGGACAGCTCTCTGACAGATACGATCCATGTTTTGTCCAAGTGCGCCTTTGCCTCCAACTTCACCTGAGGCTACTTTACGCGTCTTCAAAGGGCCACTCGTACACGCGCACTCATGAGCGCGCGCACCGAGGGGGCAGGGCCTCGAGGCGCTCAAGACTCAGAGCTTATCCTAAACGTGTGCAGTGCTCACCATGCAGCGCACCTGAGCTCCAAATCCGCACGTTACAACTGCGCGTCTGGAGCGAGTGAAGGATGGAGCAGAACTGAATACGATGAGGATATTATTTATTTACTGCTCGACTTTCTTCACAAACAGAAACAGCAGACTCCAAAGGCTTTTCTGAAGGGAGAGAGGGTTCTGTGGAGTGGTGCGGCTGACTAGCAGGTAAACAGAGGAATTTTAATACGCGCATGCAAACCAAAAGTTCACTGTAGTTCATCGGGTTTCAAATTGTGCTCACTGATTCACGGCAGGACAAACACTAATTTGTTCACACCTTGTAAGGTGAGTTGACCATGATAGTCTGAATTATAAAGGCATTACTGTAGCCTGTAAAAACAAGTCAGATGGAAAACTGGATAATAAATGTAATAAATGTTTATTGTGTTATGCTATATCACTTCAGTTAGGCCTTAAATGGGCCTAACTGAAGCTAATTTGTTAATATAAAGAAACTCGCAAACGTAAATATCTAAAAACTTCTTGCCCTCTTGATATTAGGGTTGCCCAGGGGCTGCTTCACTGAACAAGCCTATAGGCTGTGCTTTTAAATAAACAAAAAAGTAATTAGTTTTGCTGGATCTCTTCAAAAAAAAAAAAAAAAAAAGGATGCATATTCTCTTAATTGACTGGAAATCCTGTAAACAACTGGTGGTAGATTTAAAAAAAAAAAAAAAAAAAGTATTATGATTTAACATACAGACTTCTATTTGGAAAAAGGAGTTCAAAACTTTTCTACTCTGAAAAATGCATTGATTGATAAATTGCTAAATATACATATAAATATAAGTATATTTCACTATATTTTAATCAAGGAAAAGAACGTAATAGTATTTAATGCTTGTTGTCTGTATAAAATGCAATGTTGCATTCACTCAAAAGATCTGTAGCTATAATGTGATCAGTGTTAAATGAGCTGGCTGTCACATTTGCAGCAATTTTACAAATTTGCACAACCTTCAGATTTTATTTGAATAAAACCTTTCCATTCTAAATACGTAAAGTTAAGGCTTGATTATATGTACTATGTATATATAATATGCATTACAATAATCCACATATATTTAAACATAAACTGTCCTTAATGAACTCAGTAGTAAAGTAGACACTTTTCCACTGGATTTGGATGAATCAGTGTCTGTCAGACAGTTACAAATCACACAACATGTAAAACTGTCACCTCCATCTTTGCCTTTAAGCCAATAGTTTCTAATTTTCTATGTACTGACAAAAAAGTTGTCATAGGTTAGATGGTATATGCCTCCTAAGAGATGGAAATATATTTTTTTTAAATGTATTGTAATTTGAAAATATATTTTAATTGTGTTTGCAAAATGTGGATATTGAGTATATAGTCTACAATTAAAAGTATAAAAATTACCTCAAAAATATGTTTCACCCTATAATACATACACTTCATGTATTGGTAGGCATTTCAGAAAAAAAAAAAAAAATCTCCAAATATATTGGGTCAGAGTCAATATTTTAGATTTTAAAATTTTGACATGTGTGTCATTTGCTGTTTTCAGTCACAACAGCAAGACAATTTTTGGAAAAAGTAGAAAAAAAAAATCTGATCATAGATTAAACATTTGAGGTTGGTTGAGTCCACTAGATCGTAATTTATCCATGCGAACTGCAGTTTTTTGTCCCTCACTCTTGTGAAAGTAATGTGGATAGTTTTGACAAGAAAGACATAAGATATAAATGAAACTGTCTATATTGTAATTGATAATGGATAAATTAATGTTATGGTACACTTAGACTTAAACTTGGACAAACTTTATTCATCCACAAGGCTAATTATTTGGACACACATAAACTATAGTCAGACCACATGTATTTTATTTATCAGCAAAAGTTGTTCATTAAAGCTGGGGTGATAGATAGATGGATTGGTGCTTATAAACTTATGCAATATTTAGTCTGCAGTGGCCATAAAGTTTGCACTCTTCTCTTACTGTTTGTGCTTTGAAACCTCTTAGATGGCAGACTTTTAAGGCAGAGTTTGTGCTGGGTCTTGGTCAGGCAGGTTTTATGACCACAGCTCTGTCATTGCAGCGTGCCTTCCTCCTCCTCTCTCCCTCCTCTTCCTTAGACCATCTCCGCCAGCTGTTTCCCTCGAGAGCTTGTAACCCTCAGGCATTCTGGTCAAAAGCAAAAAGATGTTGGCAACTCTGGGTTTGTTTATGGTTTTGTCAGCAATGGCCAGGTCCAACTGCACATCTCGGTACAGCATTCCCTAAAAATTACAGAGCGGTCACCGTAGCTTCGGGCCGCCCCAAAATAAATCTACCTGACCTCCACCACTGGACCTTTCATTAGGGCATTCCAGGCTAATTACTTTACGATTTCATACTACCTAGAGAGCATCGCTAAATGGGTTTTCCTCCTCAAAGACTTGTAATGTCCTCTCTTGGAGCATATTGACTCAACAAATTGAGAGCTGTGTAAGGGGTGGTTACCTGTCAGTATGGGTGACAAGACATGCCTGCTGTCCCCAGTAAATGAAGACGTTGAAAACAATGAACATGAAGAAATGTTGCACAGGTGTTTGACAATGCATTCACATGGTAGATATGGGATGATTCAGACAGACAGCACACTAAGCCAAAGACAACTTTACAGTTTCCTGCAGTAAAGATAATTGCAGAGGCTCGGGACGGGGGCGTGGTGGAAGTCGACAGGACGGTTTGGAGCTTGGACATGTTTTGCAGCTGAGCAGGTTATTACTTTTGTGTCATAAAGAAATTTAACAAGCTTCATGTCACCACTGAGCGCTTCAGCCCGCCCTGTTCAGGACACATACCTGTATGATTGGGGCCTGATGCCGGTAAAGAGCGTGTGTCCATGATTACACAGAGTTATTCTCATTCTCGTGTTATTGTTGGATTCTGTTCTTTTGCTTCTGAATGCTGTCAGTGTGGATGTCGCCAATGAGCAGTGGGCGGGTCTTTTATGGGCTCACTCTGTACCTGCCTGGCGGCCTGTTGTTGTAAATCATGTGTGATTCATAAAAACAGGTTCTTCTGTCTGCAAGGCCCCATTTCTACAAACCTCAGAGACGTAGCAAACAGATTTTGGCCTACAGCCATACCTCCCTGCTACTTCTTCCTTTACCAAACTGCTCTCCTGTCAACACCCCCCTCTCTCTCCCTCCCCCAGCTGCTAGAGCCTCCGTACAGGCGCAGGATGTTGTTTTCTTTGCTCTTCTTTGACTGTCCTCTATGGGAAGTACCTGGCAGCGGATGCATGTGGCAGGCTGCTGTCTGGACACGTCTGTCTCCCCCTGTCTTCACTCTTCATGGCCACTCAGCGTGAGAACTACAGTATCCAGGCTGCTGATCTGATGTAGACAGAGGGATTTACACTGAATGACTGCATTAGACTTCAGAGGTTTTCACACCAACATGACAGTGATGCGTAAGACTGTAAAGTACAAAAACAGGAGCTAATCCAACTGTCTTTCTGTTCAACAGGTTTCATTGAAGCATCACCAACACCATGTGGTAAAGTGCACAGGACTCAGAGCACCGACTGAACTACAAAGTTGCAAAGACTTGACTACACCAGCTGTCCTCATGGCTCACCCTTATGAGCCCTGGTTACGGACAGCGCCCTCCAGTGGCAGCTCAGAGGACATGAACATGGCCCCCTGGTGGGACCTGCACCGGGACCCTGCGGGGAGCTGGTTGGACCTGCAGCCAGGACAGGGGCTGCCTTCGGTCAGTCCAGGAGGGTCCATGGGGCTACAGTCAGGGCTGCAGTCCTCTTTAGGGCCATACGGCTCTGACCCTCAGCTGTGCAGCCCGCATGCTACTCAGCACGTACCCCCCTCTCATACGTCTCACCTTTTTCCTGACTTCAAAATGGAGCCCATTGCCCCTGAAATGCTCCCACAGGAGCCTTACCCACTGGAGGAGCCACAGGAAAGGGCCGTTTCAGTGCGTCCCAAACCTAATAGGCGCCCCTCATCACGGGGTGGGGGGCAGGCCGCATGCCGCTGTCCTAACTGTGTGCATGCAGAGCAGTTGGGGCAGAGTGCAGACGACCGCAGGAAGCACATGCACAACTGTCACATCCCAGGCTGTGGGAAGGCCTACGCCAAGACCTCCCACCTCAAGGCTCACCTGAGGTGG